TAACTGTTCTTGATCCAACGACAGATATGTTTCTGTCGTCCAGATCCTGGCGCATAAATACTGTAAGGATTCCAGCTCAAGTCAAGACTGACTCAGCTCAGGATTTCTTTCCTACATATATACATTTTGTAAACCTCAAATAAGATAACTTTGTCATTACATTTTAGTCTATTTAGTCAACAATATTGAGAGAGGAGGTGAGGTGAGGTGAAATGGGGTTTAACGCCGTACTTGAGAATGTTTCGCTCATATCACGACGTGCAGGGGGTGCGCACCCCTCTTTTGCCCCGAAAGTTTATCAAATGACCACTGGAACTCTCGTGAAAGTGAAGTGTGCCATTCAGGGAATACATGGTCCCCACGTCACTAACACAGTACACACTCATTTCCATTATAAGTGCACAATTAATAAACATTCACGTCGTCTCCATATACAATACATTTTCCGGTAAATTAGCGATTAAAACGTTACAATATATGATTGATTACATATAAAATCGAAGAGGCAACATAATAATTAACGTTAGTTTCATTCTTTGCAGTCCGTATGTGTGAGAAATGCCCGAGCTGAGGAAAAACTTGTCAAAATAGGAATGTCGTCAACATGAGATCCTTAGATCTACTAAGTTAGTGACATGACATGCTGAGTTGTGGAAGCAGAAATAAGTGTCTATAATAACAGCACAAGATCTATCTAGGTCTACTGACTTACCCCTCGCTGCCAGACATATGCTAACCTTGGGAGACTCCACAAGCGACCGCACGTACATACCCAGTACAGCTAAAGGCCCACATACCGTTCCTTAAATGAAGGCATTAGATAATTGGAAAATGTAAGTTCTACCCGATCCATGTTTTAACATCAGATTACTCACACCATTAACGGAACATGCTAGGCTAATCAGATGCCAAGAAACGCTTGCTACTGGTGTATTTATTTATATCGCCATGTGACGATTGGCCATCCGTGTTTCCTTGAGGAAATGTGGCCAAGATACCGCATGGATCTTTCTGCTTAAAATCACTGGATTGCCTGGCCGTACACAACAAAGAACAGCAATTTGTTGGTGAAATAGTCCCGATCAACAGCCGTGGCATCAGGAAGGATTTTGTGTGCGCTTCAGAGAAGTGCCATACAATCCCCGGGACCAGATAAACAATACTTTGTTGTTGAACGTCTCGATCACCAATACAGAGGTTATTTGGCGGTGGTCTGTATGTAATCGATTCTGGACGAGCTACTCCAATGATTGACGTCAATATGACATCAACAAAGTCACTGAGTCTCACCGCACGATAAATTTTGTCGCCTCTTTCGACCAACACACGTTGCTGATGACCCGTTAGGACGCAGAATAACCAGGGGTTTGGTAATATAAAAATAACAAACGTGTAATTACAATATTATAATTATGTCTTGATATGTCTTCAATATCCTGTCGGGACTACAACACAGAAATTCCCAATGGTATAATTGTAATATCTAATAGTGTCTTGATATGTCTTCAATGTCCTGTCGGGACTACAACACAGAAATTCCCAATGGTATAATTGTAATATCTAATAGTGTCTTGATATGTCTTCAATGTCCTGTCGGGACTACAACACAGAAATTCCCAATGGTATAATTGTAATATCTAATAGTGTCTTGATATAATTGTAATATCTAATAGTGTCTTTATATGTATTCGGCGTCACGCTCATTGTGTATGTTTGGCGCAGTGCTAATGACGGACTTGTCCCCAGGATCTAATCAGGTGGAATATACTCGTATGTGCAATCCACTGCTGGCTGTTACCACATTTGTAAGGTCATAGTTTTGGAAGCATATCTGTAAATATTCTGAACATAATTTGGGGGGCAGTTTGTGGACTATATAATTACAACGTGCATGATATTGATAAGCAGGATGCCGTACGTTCAAAACATATACATGTATAGTGTTATATGTGTTAATACAAAAATTAAACCAATTTTGCTATATGGGGCAGAAGTTTGGGGGTTTTCTCGGTTGGAAGCATTGGAAAAGGTTGGAAAAGTCTTGGGAGTTAAATTAAATACCCCAAATGTGATGATCTATGGTGAATGCGGTCACTTCCCATTTTATCTAGAAGCACATATAAAAGTTATCAAATACTGGGTAAAGCTCTTGAATATGCCTGCATCAAGATTTCCTAAGGAATGTTATAACATGATGTATTTGTTTGACACCAAAGGAAAATCAAATTGGGTAACGAATGTTAGAAATTTACTAAATCATTGTGGTTTTAGTGATGTATTTTTGTCACAAAAGATTACCTGCCCAAAGTCATTTTATAATGCTTTATTGCAAAGATTAAAAGATATGTACATTCAGACCTGGAACTCATCTTTAATACAGTCGCCCAAATCCACTTTTTACAGTACTTTCAAATCTTTTTTCCATACAGAGCAATACCTACACGATATTAATCTTAGAAAATTCCACGTTTCATTATCCAAATTTAGATGCTCTTCACATGATCTTATGATCGAGAAGGGCAGATATTATAATATTCCAAGAGAAATCAGATTGTGCAAATTTTGTGCACTAAATGTAATTGAAGATGAGTTCCACTTTTTGCTGGTATGTCCTTACTATGCTGATTTAAGGACAAAATACCTACCACAATATTACTATTCACATCCTACCATGTTTAAATTTAATTTGATAATGAACTCTAATAATATAACTTATATTCGAAAACTTGGTATGTATATCCACCATGCTTTTGAACAAAAAAAATAACGTTTGCAAACATTGTGATTGTATGCCATTATTGTTTTTATATTTTGTACCATGTGGCCTCTTTAGTAATGGAATAAAGAGATTTGACATGTGTTAAGGTTGAATTGGTGTCTCTCCAGTAGTGTGTATTCCTTTACGTAATGAGATATTTAATGCTGTTTTGGACGCAAATGTTAAAATATTAATGACGATGGTGTCCGCACGGGAAAGCCACATTTGGAAAATACCAATTGTCGTTAAAAGCCACATTTCAAGTACAAACCTCGGTGCCGCGAATCGCCGCGAAAGCCACACTGAGTAGGGGAATCAATACCGTTGTTTCAAATAAGCGTCAACCATTGATCACAATGGATTAAAATTGTTTTAGTGACTTTCCTTTGTTTGTTAACATCGTTGATGTTTTTACTTAACATTTTGGGCGGTGGGGTAGCCTAGTGGTTAAAGCGTTCGCTCGTCACGTCGAAGACCCGGTTCGATTCCCCATATGGGTACAATGTGTGAAGCCCATTTCTGGTGTCCCCCGCCGTGATATTGCTGGAATATTGCTAAAAAGCGGCGTAAAACCATACTCACTCACTCATTACTGAACATATCAGAACATTAATTAATTAATTAATGTATTTTGTTCTTTAATCTTGCATTCTGTGCTCTTATTGTAGATTGTATTATCTTAATTCCTATGTATTGAATCTGTTCTGAGATAAAAGGATACATGCTAGTGGGTCATTCTTTGGAAAAAGTCAATTTCAGCTTTTGCTCTTATGAAAAATATATTTCTATTTTTTTGGTATTTTTTTATGTCTTCATGTAAACTACTTTGGTTTGTATGATTGATAAACTGCATCAGCTGAGAAGTTTGGACAAGAATTTTCCATAAAATTTATTCTGACGTTTCAACTTCAAATCAAAATGTATTTACCGCAACTGCGCCAAAAATACAGATATTGGAACAATCTAGCGATAGATTTGGCTTAAAATCAGCTATGAAATGGGAATAGTTGTTAGGGGTCACACATGTGTCTGTTAGTATGTATATTTGTGCAATAAACGGTTATTCTTCTTAATTGTTGTGGGTTTTTTTTAGTTTTTAGCATGAATATAAACATAATAACTAAGGTAACAATAGCTCTTATCTCAAATAGTTTCAGAAAAGGATAATTCACTGAATTCGTTTGACCCTCCCATAAGTTAAAATGCTTCAAAGAAATAATTGGTTGTATTATCATGAATAATTCGTAAGATGTGTTTGAGTATCAACGTGATGCAGCCAGTTTGCGTGATCTGGACTTTTCTCCACGAACAATTTTCTCACGAACTGGATTTCTAGATTTTACAGAATGAATATTTCAATATTTGAAACCCATTATTTACGGTAACATGGATTAGCTAAAAGCGCATAGCCGGGAGAGCCACATTCATACGATCACTCAACCATGCCCATTGCCGGTTGAGCCACACCAGTTTCAACTCTGTTTTTCCAGAGACCATATCTTTTCTTAATGTGGCTTTCCCGGGCTATAACGATGACGTTCTGATTAATGACTGTGGACCTGTCAAGTTATTCATACCGTTGACAGGTTAAGTAAATAATTAGTTGTATTAGACATGATGTGGTGTGACACTACTGGACGGTGGAATGACGTGTCATGGTGTTATACAACAGTGATGTATGGTCCAGTCCAGATGACCTCACTCAGTGTAGAATGCAAATGAGTGAATTGATGGGTCGCCACTTAACGCTGTCATAATTCAACCAGCGCCAAGTGAAATAAATGCGACACAACACCGATCTTCAGTTATATAATATGAACTGTTACATTTATTGAGTATCATGGTTCTTTTTAATGAAAATTGTTTGACCTTCTCGTTGTTAGCAACATGCAGAAGGCCATGATTGACACCTACTAGAGTTACCTTCCAACCTAGCCGTGCTGAGTAACTATTTATATATTGGACATCTGAACTTGTAATCTATCTTAAATGAAACAGTATTTTGTTTGTTGCCTGTTATAAATATGTATTCAAAAACACATAGCCTACGTTTGCAAAGAAACACCGTATTAATGTTAAAACAATGGAACGGGTTTAATGTTGGTAGGTCCACAGATAATGTTTTACAAAACCTGGCACAATACAATTTTAAACAGCCACTGCATAGCCTGTCAACAACGTTTGGCCATGGTCTGATGGTTTTCATACGTGACCTCATTCTCCGGAAAAAGATAGTCACGTGACATGCTATGTGAAAGGCGCGGCGTATAACACCGAAGGCCTAGCGTTTCTTAACGCTGTCACATTGTTGAGTACAGGAACATATAGAGTCACAGCTACCTCCATCATGTCGTCTGGGCTGAGGATAGGACACGGGATTGTCTCGGGACTCTCCATTATCTCGGGTGAGTCCATGTTAGGATCTTGTTTAAATGTATCCACGTTGAATGTGTTCAGTTTTCAAACACCTGCCTGTCCGCGGTCCTCCATCTTCCACGATCTATTGATTCAATGTACAAACTCACGTGACGTCACGGCCTCAGGTATACCGTCTTCGTTCAACCGTCTATCGAACACGTCCCTGTTGAATAGGGCAGGACGGTAATACTGTCTGTTAAGAATGACAAGCACATAAGTTGTATTTCGGGTTTCCGTGTTATTTCCAATCCGCTGACAGAGATCAGCTTAATTGTGTAGTTTTCAAAAAGACGTGCAAACAGGTATTTCGTTTACTATACGGTCCCCTGTTTGTCAACCCGAGCGCAAATAGGCTTGTGTCTGTTTACAGCGTTAATCCTTCCCGTATTCATTACAAGGCTGTAATAGTCTATTGAATTCTAAATGTCGTGCAGGAATGTGTATTTGTTAGTAGTAAATGCCAAAGATTATATCTTTACTAGACAAAATCTGTCAGAAGGAAAACTTCAGTGAGTATTTACCAGTTATACTGCCACTGTTCACAAGTTTAAACTTGTAACCATGACTACACTCGCCATGGTTATAACCTTTGACACATAGTAACATAAATACTGTTTGTATTTGCGCGTGAAGTCAGACCTGTCACGTGGCAGTACATCACCCAGGGTAGTATGTACACAAGGTTCATATCGGAAAGCCGTCTGCACTGAAATTGACTGGTATTTTTCAAGTTTGACTTTAGATATCTCAGAGGTGACTTTGTCTACTTTTTTTCACTGACGTGATTGTAAATATCCCTGTTGGGATACGGATAAGAATGTAACCCCCCAGCAACTCATTATATACGTAGAATACCCGTGAAGATCCGGGTTAGAAGGAAATTGGTCTTCGGTAACCCATTCTTGTCGGAAGAGGCGACTAACGAGATCGGGTGGTCAAGCTCGCTGACCTGGTTGACACATGACATCATGATGTTGATCACTGGATTGTCTGGTCCATACTCGATTCTGTACAGACCACTGTCATATAAGTAAGGCTTTAAATAGTGAGTGAGTTTAATTTTACGCAGCACTCAGCAATATTCCAGCTACATGGCGGCGAGGCTTTAAATAAAAGAAAAACATTCAACAAATAACATGTTTTCGTAATCTAAGAACATCGTTTAGTTGAGTGAGTCAGCAGACAAGTTGAACCCCATGCTGCTTGGTATCAGATGTCTGTTATGTCGGAATAGAGTGAGATGAAATTCCAATGTCTTGTGAAAATCCAAAGCACATCGGAGTCTGGCATGACAAAGGGCCGCAACTCTACATAGTGAAGTACAGCGCTTTAAACAACTATACTGGTGTCCCCCGCCGTGATATTGCTGGAATATTGCTAAAGGCGGCGTAAAACTAAACTCAGTCAGTCAGTAAACAACTATATTGGCCGTGCCACCAACTCCAGCGGTGACCTCAATGACATATAATCAAAGGTTACACACAGGGAGTGATAAAATTCATTCAAGTAAATTTATGGTACATCTTCCCCCAAATACGCATACCATGGTGTAACGTGTTTTCGGGGTAATAACGCAAAAGATGATCATGTAAATCATTGCGTATAAGTAGATTATCAAAACTGGAATTCCGTAATTAAATATCATCTCACCTTTCATAAATTTATTGTCAGAATATTCTGTCGTCCGCCGGTTTCCAATGCAGCGAACATTACGTGTCTGTCCGCCAGCGCGTGCGGAGAACCATGTGTTAAAGTTACCCCATTGGCACACGAGAGGTTCGTCTAGTTACAACACGGTTTGTCCTGGCTTTTGATTGACAGGCGTAGTGCACCCTGTCAATCAAAAGCCAGAACAAATCAAAGTTGCAACTAGACGAACCTCGAGTCGTGGGTGGGGTAACAGACTTGGGTACCATGAGATTTCGGCGGTGTGTTTAAAACAAAGTGGCGGGGAAATGAGTGCACCATATGACATCATGAATATCACGTCATACGCGCCATCTTAGGTCGTTCAAGTTTTCAAAAATTAATTCTCAACCATGGAGGACGTGGAAACAACGTTCATACCCAGCAGTGATAGTGTGAATGAGTGGAATGATGAAATTGATGATATTACACTTTCCCAAGTTGGTGAGGCGATGGAGTTGAATTTAAAGTTTGAGGACCTAACTTTATCCCACTCTTTGGACATTTACGAAGTGAGTGGAAGCGACCAAATTGACCCGGATGTTGCATTATTTGATCTTCAATTCGACCCGTTTTCTGAAGAAAACAGGCCTGATGACATTACTAATCCTGTTGATCCACCGGCTCAAACTGAACGATTTGCGAAAATCGTATCAGAAGACGATATTTTGCAACGCATAGCTGATGCTGAATGTAAGAACACTCGAAATAACACGAAGTGGGCGATGCGTGTTTTCGACCAATGGTGAGGATCCCGACAAGATATTTGTGTGCCAGAGATCAAAGACTTTACATCCGTCGATGTAAAAACAACTGTCTGTCCAGATTTGTGTTAAATTTGTCAACATTGTACTTTGTTTTTTTATGTTCTACAATGTACGTATCTCAACTTCCTTCTTTGCGAAACCTGTAAACGATGACGTCATAGTTTCGGCACACGAAAGGGCGGAGCAAGCATTATCCAGTGAGAATCAGTAGGGGCGAAACCATGTAGTAACTAGCAGGTTACAACATGGGCAACATCAAAGAGACGGCCGCAAAGCCATGGTACCATTACATATTCTTTCCTCAACATTGTTAAACTTGTTATACATTGTTTTTTTGTAAGTGCACATGTAAGTGTATATATACATATATATATTACCCACGTGGTCAACGTACGGGTAGTTGCATACTAATCTCGTACGTCACACGAGTGTCGTATCGCGTTGACCTGTGTCGTAACGACTTGACCTGAGATTCTAACGATTTGATTGGATAACCGATGACCTCTCAGTTAGGTCACATTGTGACGTAACTATTTTTTCATTCATAACAAACACGTGAATCCATTCATTCTACAACTTAAATGCATTGTGGGAATGTAAACATCGCGAACGTTGTCGCTGTTTAACTGTGAGTCGAACTGAGACATTATACCCGTCGAAAAACATAAACGCAATGTTTCCACCAGTGATGTTAGCCGAAAGAAGCAACTGGAAACCAAGAAACGAGGTGCTACGGAGTAGTTTACTGTACGACAACTGACATGCATCGTGACGTCGGTTACCAAGGCAGTGACGTCATTACAGTGACGTCATGCAAATATTGTACTACAGTACAAAACTCTTCCGCAACCTCTTTATGAAACCGGTTTCGGTTTGAAACCAAAATATTAACAAAAATACGCTATTTTGTCAATTTAATGCATGTAAGACGTGGGTAATAAATAAAATACCACACTCGGTCTCATTACATACGAATTATACGAAACTCGTGACCTTCCTATGTTATCTGACGAAACTCGTGACCTTCCTATGTTATCTGACCTCGCTTTCGCTCGGTCAGATACCATAGGAAGGACACTCGTTTCGTATAATTCGTATGTAATGAGACCTCGTGTAGTATTCTCTATATATCTCACCCTTATACCCTACCATTCACCCGACGAAGGAGCCTGCATACACTCGAAACGTCGTGCTGTTCAAAATAAAGGAGTTGACATCCATGAAATCTTGCTTTTCCTAAATTGAAATTGCACTTCACACCCTTGTTGATTACCTGGCTGTTCTGCCAGTAATTGGTCCTCCCTCCTAAGAAATAGTGAAACGTAACAGCAAAATAATGATCGTTTGTTAAACTTTTTTATTCGGGTGTCCAAAATTGTGAGACAAATCATCAGAGTTGGTCTGTCGATTTCCTGTGACTGTGCAAAATTTGGTTTTGTTGCAATTATTACATTTTGTGTTAGTGAGTAATTCATCGGTCCAAAATGAGGTCAAACGGACTATAGTGGTGTTATTATCTGTGATTATTAGGGACGTATAAATATATAGAATTGCTATGCCATCGTCCTATGCAATTTATTACGTCGATGAAATATGGCGGACGTGTTTGATATTATATCGGCAAGGTCGTGTTTTGTACTATCACATCACTATTTGTACAAAACAGATTTTTAAACCCGTTGTCATCTTGATATTGTTGTTGCAGGTCTCTCCATGGTGCTCATTATATACTTCCTCAACGAGCTGATAGAGCGGGCCAACTACGAGGCCAGGGAACATAAAGTCACCCCCTACAGTTTCAATGGGTATGCCCCGTATGCCGCGGCCGACTCGCCTGTCTACATCGTTGGCGTGGTGGTAGGTGTTGGGTGACCCCACTTGTTTCCTCACTGTCGCATCGTATTTAAAGCATCCAGCATTAAATGTGCATAGAATATATTAATTACCCTCCAACATAACAATCGCTGGCAATGTAGAAGTGTTCCATGCGCTCGCTTGGCACAAGGTTTCATTCTCATTCTAGTTTATTGTTGAACCCATTCTTCATGCTCCCTGCTGTTATTGGGGTGGGATGGCGCTGAAGGCAGCTTTCAGTTCAGCAAATGTTAAATCCGGATATTGATTATTTCTTTGTTGCCATAGTTACATTAAGGATGATAATATGTAATAACTAATTCACTCTTTTCTTGTATTTCCAGTACATTATTTGCGGCGTGATCGGTGTCATAGCAACATTCATAAATGGGAAGACGTTTGTGAGTATCTGTATTGACGCCATGTTTCTATAGTATACGGTGGACTAGCCAGTCGTTCATAGCATCACAGTGACACTGCAGAGGTGTCTCCCTGAACAGTGCAAGGATCCGCTAGTGATACGATTGCTTGTTGTTCCGTAACTTTGATGGTCCGACTCTGTGAATTGTCTGACACAGTCTCACGGAATCCCGACTTGGTCTCACATTCTGTATGCCTGTGAAGATGTAGGCAGGACTGGTCTTCAGAACCTGTGCTTGTCTGAAGAGGCGCTGGTCAGGTCGCTGACTTGGTTGATGCATGTCAACGTTCTCCAATTGCGTAGATCGATTCGATGTTCGTGACGTCAGTCACCGTGTTGTCTGGTCCACGCTTGATTATTTACCAAATGCCCCACCCCCAACCCCAACCCCACCACCATTTACCTGGAATATTGCTGAGTGCGGCGTGTCACAACAAACAATTAAAATATAATGATTTTGAAAAAATATTTCAACAGAAAACGAACAAATAACAGTCACTGTAACCACAATCTCGTGGACTAAAATATTACAATTCAGTTTGAGATGATATGACAGAACTGTCTTTTAGAGCAGTGCTCAACCAGCACATTACTGCGACATTCATTCTGGACTTGACAAGAAAGGCGTCAAGGATAGGACAGTCCACAGACGATGCCTTGTTATAGGCGGGATGTAACTACTGCTGGGAGGACAGGTTGTCGAGGTCCTGCTGGCTTCATGTGGTATATGTAGGCATACAACACTGTGTCCCAAGTTGCAGGGACCTATGTGCATACTTCGACATATCCGAGGTTCGAGACAACCACAAAATAATGAAAAAATAAGGAATACGTAGGGAGCCAGCGTTTACTTCGAGACAATCGTATGTTCGACACTTGAACGTTCGATATAACAGTGTGAGCTTCCATACCTTTAGGCCCAAACGGATATGTATTATTGGCTTAGCGTTCGGGAGTACAACTTCCGGGTCATTTCAGTTATAGCTGTGATAGCAGATATGGTTAATTATAAAGGCGGACTTGGAGTTATTACAGTGCATATATTTCTTCATACATTTTTAAATTTTTCACAAATTATTCATAACAAAGAAAATTCGTATAGTGTGTCTTGTTTATAGCCCCGCATGTCAAGCGCAGTAGTAGGCAATTAGCAAACGCATCCACGCTAACCTTAAACTAATTAATCAAAGATGAAGCTAGCGAGCTGTGTCGGCTCCGGCCTTTCTTCTCGGGTACATCCCTTGGTCAAGCACAGATAAGTAGTTCCATCCCAGCAGGAGCATGTCTACCACCAACTAAGTCGTAATCGAAAATCAACTTTTGTTGAACAAGATCGAGATTACCATCATGCCATCCTCTTTGTCCTGACACAAATGCCATGGTCAAGCGCTGACAGATATTTTGTTAAGCAGCTGGCGCAAGCTGACCGTGGCTACACCATAAAGAAAATCAAACCTTGTTAGGTAATCATCTTCTTACCACCTACCTCGTGTAGTAAACCTTATCAGATAACGCATATGGAAACTTCAACTTTATAGAAACTTGATAATGACAAACGAGTAGAGCTATGGGGTATAAAATCCTGGGTTCTTCCATCTCAGGCACGCTTGCTTGAATAAACCCTGAATCTCACAGCTCTGCCTCCTTTCTTGTTTCAAGGTACGAAACATTTAAACTTTATTATTGTTGATGTTTCACTTGTTATTTCTTTGTAATTATCGTCTAGAATATGTTAGAGTTAGGTTTGAAACATTCCTACGATATTGTAGCACTTTTTAAATACCTATCATTGTAAATGCTAGTTCTAGAAAACCGATAATTCTTAGGCACTATCCAGGGATATTTATTTATGCACATTGCGTCGTGGGCTCCTCAAGTTTTATGTTTTTCATGTACAAACGAATATTTCTTTTCTATGTTTCGACACACATGTGTGTATTCCCAGTCCGTGTCTAGTTTCATTCATGTTTGCGTGTTAGATCTGTATATGCAGGTTAGATTCCCGTTTAGTAGCCTAGATTCTAGTAGCTTAGTCACAAAAACAGTTCCGCGAGTTTATACAATCATTTCCAGCAAAGATGAATTTATATGTAGGTCAGTTACTCTGTATTTTACAATAGTCCGCCGATCAAATAATATACGCGCTCACAGAATAGGTTACAACAGCCAACATTGTATTTTGATATTTCACCAACATAAGTATTTGAATAATGATATATTAAACGTTCCGTTCCGCACAGCAGTTAATGAACTATAGGCACTACATGCTGTAATTAAACTGTTGGGCGCTCCACTCAGTACTTGTTCTTTGCAATTATTGTTGATGATTAATTTATCCGTCAGGTTATGTTATTTATCAGTACCGTAGTTACCCAAGGATAGGTTGTGTTATTTGTATTATGTTTCTGTAAGCAGTTACCGTACATACCCTGTTGTACCACACATTGCTTATATTACCTGACTTAGATATAAACTGTATTAGGATATCATTGATTACTATTTCTATTATTGTATGTCATTATTATGTATGAATTGATGCAATTTGAATGTCATCCAAGACACTTGCTTGAATAAACCCTGGATCTCACAGCTCTGCCTCCTTTCTTGTTTCAAGGTTTCAAGGCTTGCTCCCTATAGCTAATTCCCCAAAATCTAGGCCTGACAGCACCTTTAGCACACCTAGTGCTAAAGGTCGTCCTAACGGACACAAAAAGAAAAGCTGTCTTAGAGTCAAAAAACGTGTGTCGGCCAGTGAATGAGTATCACATGTTTATTCTGACCTACTGTGTATATGGTATTTGTGTTTCTGTGTTACAGTATAAGGTTGAGGTGATAGTATGTGTCGTCACGCTGCTCATCATGGCGGGAATATTAATCGTCAGTATGATGGTCATTGGCGCATTCTCACCAATCAACATGAGCTTCTGTCAAAGCTTTGGCCGCTCTTGTGTATGCAGGTTGGTCAGATAGGTTTTGTAGCTTTGTCATAGGGCGAATATACTAACTAATGTTGTCACAGTATACTATCCTAACGAACATTGTCACATACTGAATATATACTCATGCCAATAATGGTTGTCACCCCTCTCCCCACCCCAACCCCCAACACTCCCCACCCCACATCCCTCTCCAATAAAAAAATTGAAGGGGGTGACAACCATTATTGGCATGAGTATATATACAAACAAATATTGTCAAGTGGATAATACACTAACGAATATGGTCATATTGTGAATATTTTCACGAATGCGAATATATTAACTGACATGTCATTTGTTGAACATACTAACGAATATTGTTATATTGCGAATATACTCAGGAATATTGTCATATGATGGATATATTAAACATGTTGACAGTCTACGAATATACTAAGGAATTTTGTTACATGTTGACTATATTTTATAAATATTGTCATACGTGAATATTCTTATGAATATTGTCACATGATGAATATTCAGAACTAGTGAATATGTGAATGTAAATATGAATAAGTGATATTGTCATGCGTCATTATAATGACGGGATTATGATGATCGAGACTATAGACGACCAGGAACCCACGCTCGGGTTATGAGTTTTGAAATTTGTTTCATTGCGGGTCATGGTATCCCATGCTCGATAACACAATCACTGGATTGCTGGGTCCAGGTAGGGACCATATATCTGAAATTGCTGTGTATGGCCTGACACAACAAATAGCATAATATTGTTGAAAAATCTTTTCTTAACTTCACAGCCAAATTATTCCCAACAACTGGCACTTTCCCTGCGAGGAACTGAACACGTTGTACGACATGGCTGTGGGTATCGTGGCTATGAATATTCTCGGTTTGGTCTGTACCTTGGCCGCTGCCGTCATCAGTGGCTTGGGAGGCTTTGGGAAAAAGGTGAGCCACGTCCGGTTTTAATATTCAGTGTACATGTATTCAACATAAAGAAGAAAATACAATGGTAAACATATACTAGCTTCAATGTGTAGATCCCTCCCTACAAGTGGCACCAGGACATGCGCCAATCAGCGCATTCTCTTGAACTCCGATATCTTACTTCAAATTGTTCCTTGTTCAATTGCATGGTATCATGATAGAGTATCGTGATGTGTGTAACTGATGTTTATGTCATGTAATGAAATCAAAGGTTGTAGCGGTCTAGACAGAGGACATTGCTGTCAGAAATGTGAAGCGAATAAGTGGATAAGTTATATATGTCAGATGTCAAGCTAATTTTAATTCATCAACTCTGAGCTATTACGTGAACGTTGCTATGTGAACATGTATTACTTCAGCGACCCAGGTTGGTCGCTAGAGATGACTCAGTGGAGCCGTTAGACAAGCCCGTCATGACTTCGTAATGGCTGTCTCCAATAGCCTGTCTCTGCTCCCAAAATCAATCACTGGATTGTCCAGGCCGCTCCATACCAAGGTGCGGCGTTACACAACAAATATTATTATGTCTTTTGTCTGTTTCCAGGAGGCTGCGGAGTCTTCAGATATGCCGATGAGGTCAAGGGACAGAACGAACAAAATATAATATGCGTCACCTTGACAACGGTCATACAGTTGCAGTGTCACCTTGACAACAACCATACAGTTGGAGTGTCACCTTGACAACAATCATACAGTTGGAGTGCCACCTTGACAACAATCATACAGTTGGAGTGTCACCTTGATAACAATTATACACTTGGAGTGTCACCTTGGCAACAATCATATAGTTGCAGTGTCACTTTGACAACAGTAATACTGTTATTTGGTCGAAAGGTGAAAGTTTGTAAACGATATTTACAAAACCAATGTTTGATGACACCCTGCGGCCCCATCACTAACAAGTTGAGACACCATGGAACTTACATTGTCCACGACTTCTACAACGACCTGCTGCTGTTACATGGCACGTACAACTTGACACTTGCTCTCTTTTTAGTGACAAAACTGAAGACATGAACCAATACATGATGCAAATACTGCATGTGTATTTGCATCATGTATTGGATCATGTCTTCTATTCTGTCACTAAAGGGAGAGAGTATTTACATACAGTATGTCTTCTATTTTGTTTTTCTATATATATATATATATGTTTCTAAAATGCTTCGCGAAAACACAATAGTTCCGGTCAAAACTGTATTACACTACCATGGAGGTAGAACACACGTTATTTTACCTGTATTTTTATATGTTATATTGTAATACTTCCTAGTGCTCGTGGCCACTCAATGGAACCATGCCTGATTGTTTTTATACTTTTATATCGTAAGGAATTTCTCTGGATTGAACTGCGTGTGTCAGCTGAATGGACTGGGACAGTGGAGCTACGATTGCCACGCCCAACATCAAAGGTTGATTCCCCAAATGGGTACACCGCGGACCTTAAATAACGTCTCCCGCTATTATAAGGTTGGAATGTTGCTTAAAACATCTTAAAACTCACCTCACAGACGCCTTCATACAAACTAGGTTATAATGTTGTATATTTCAAAATACAGTACATCGTTAGATCTGAGCACAATTCCTATCAGTACACGAGATGGGAGAAGTGGAGTGACATTTTATACATGGACTTTCCTTACAATATATGAGAATCTGAATATATGTGACCCAACAAATATATCTTGTTTTGGAATATCTAGAACTGACAACTGATTAGGCAAGCATACACAGCGAGAGTAGTGTCTTGAAATCTACCATCCCCTTTACCCCAACAAACAATCTTTTTGTATTTTTGTACATAGAGACATAGAGTTGTTACAATGAATGCATAATAGTGTATCATGATATGATCATCCAGTCACGAGAACACCCCGTGCTACCCACAACTTATCGTGTAGCCCCAACACCAACCTGATGAGTACTTGTTTGTGCGGGAAGAGGCGACCACATGGAACAGACTCGGACTGGGTTAACTGCTGCATGTTCTCGTCTATATAGTATTGTGTAGATTGATGCTCGTGTTGCCAATCACTCGAATGTCTGGTCTAGACTCGATACCTTTATGACTACCGTCACATCTGGAACAGTCCTAAATGCGACAATAAGCAATAAACTACCGATTTCACTTATTTAATCCCCAAAGAATCTATTCAATTCCATTGTAAACTCAGTCCTGATCCACGTATCAACCACCCAGTGAGGATATAAACAGTTTTGTGAAATAGTATTATTATGGAGTACAGCTGTTCATGTTTATAACAGATCAATATGTGTTTGTTGCTTAACGCCGCATCCAGTACAACCCCAGTTGGCAGCTTGTATCGTAGAAAAGGCAGTGAGTCACTACACTAATGTTAGACCGTCCAGGTGTGGATGGATTTATATATGGTGCTACTTGTTGATACGTTCGTGTGTATTTGTATTCCTGATTCATGTAAACTGTTGAAGCAATAAATACACAAATAGAAGAAGGTTTTGCTACTCTCGTTGTAAGCGTGGACACCATAAGAGCATGTTATCGCGGGTCGCTGTGCCGTTCTTTACAAGGAAACGGTCTGAGTGACGTGTCAGGCCGTCATGTAAATGCTCAATAGCTATCCAGATCTACACTTATAGCACTACCAGTGGCAGATGCAAGCCAGACCGACACCTATAGCACTGCCAGTGGCAGATGCAAGCCAATCCGACACTTATAGCACTACCAGTGGCAGATGCAAGCCAATACGACACATATAGCACTACCAGTGGCAGATGCAAGCCAATCCGACACCTATAGCACTACCAGTGGCAGATGCAAGCCAATCCGACACTTATAGCACTACCGGTAGCAGATACAAGCCAGACCGACACCTATAGCACTGCCAGTGGCAGATGCAAGCCAATCCGACACTTATAGCACTACCGGTAGCAGATACAAGCGAGACCGACACCTATAGCACTACCAGTGGCAGATGCAAGCCAATCCGACACCTATAGCCCCACCAGTGGCAGATACAAGCCAATCCAACACTTATAGCACTACCGGTAGCAGAAACAAGCCAATCCAACACATATAGCACTACCAGTGGTAGATGCAAGCCAATCCGACACATATAGCACTACCGGTAGCAGATACAAGCCAGACCGACACATATAGCACTGCCAGTGGCAGATGCAAGCCAATCCGACACCTATAGCACTACCGGTAGCAGATACAAGCCAGACCGACACCTATAGCACTACCAGTGGCAGATGCAAGCCAATCCGACACTTATAGCACTACCGGTAGCAGATACAAGCAAATCCAACACCTATTGCACTACCGGTAGCAGATACAAGCCAATCCGACACATATAGCACTACCGGTGGCAGATGCAAGCCAATCCAACACCTATAGCACTACCGGTAGCAGATACAAGCCAGACCGACACCTATAGCACTACCAGTGGCAGATGCAAGCCAATACGACACCTATAGCACTACCGGTAGCAGATACAAGCCAGACCGACACCTATAGCACTGCCAGTGGCAGATGCAAGCCAGACCGACACCTATAGCACTGCCAGTGGCAGATGCAAGCCAATCCGACACTTATAGCACTACCGGTAGCAGATACAAGCCAATCCAACACATATACGCACTACCAGTGGCAGATGCAGATGCAAACCAATACGACACCTATAGCACTACCGGTAGCAGATACAAGCCAGGCCGACACCTATAGCACTACCAGTGGCAGATGCAAGCCAGGCCGACACTTATAGCACTACCGGTAGCAGATGAAAGCCAATACGACACCTATAGCACTACCGGTAGCAGATACAAGCCAGACCGACACCTATAGCACTGCCAGTGGCAGATGCAAGCCAGACCGACACCTATAGCACTGCCAGTGGCAGATGCAAGCCAATCCGACACTTATAGCACTACCGGTAGCAGATACAAGCCAATCCAACACATATAGCACTACCAGTGGCAGATGCAAGCCAATACGACACCTATAGCACTACCGGTAGCAGATACAAGCCAGGCCGACACCTATAGCACTACCAGTGGCAGATGCAAGCCAGGCCGACACTTATAGCACTACCGGTAGCAGATACAAGCCAATCCAACACCTATAGCACTACCAGTGGCAGATGCAAGCCAATCCAACACCTATAGCACTACCGGTAGCAGATACAAGCCAGGCCGACACTTATAGCACTACCAGTAGCAGATACAAGCCAGACCGACACATAGAACAGCACCAGTTGCAGATACAGTGCAAGCGGACACATAGCACTGGAAGATGCAACGCAGGAAAACTCCCTAAGGTCACAAACTGTATAAAACACATCTTCTTTTGAAAAAATGGTTTTAATGGATGAGTACATACAATGATATAAAAACAGATCACAGGATTTTGAGCGTTGGTAGGGACTTCCTGATTTGTGGTTTACACATCTTTGAAACCATGTATTGAGACCGTTCTGTACATGATATAAAATGTGCTTCATGACGTAAAGGAATAGAGTGAGAACGTACTGAGGTCATCTGTACACATAACCACTGTTTTGCCTTAAGTCAGAGAGAGTATTGTTACAGTAGGCAGAATATTCGTGGGATAATCGTTCATATTTTTTTATCAAAATATTACCTGTATAAAAATATGTACATGAAACTTTGGCAACCAGAATTTTATTGACGTTAGTGGTAGGTTGTTTATCATCCAAAACCCTCCACGGGAGTTACAGCTTCTGTTCACCTGGGCCGTATTTCTCATATCGTAATACCATTGGCCCAAGCAAAGGGAGCCGGGAACCATATAGCTTAGGTGGGATATAAGTTATATCTCATCACAATGGCGTCACATTTCATGACCTCAATACTTTCTCTCCCCATGAATCTGCTTCGCTGTACTTTTACACTCAAGTAACTGTTTCTGTATACAAACTATAAACGTTGGGAGAATGATTTTGGGTAATGGAATCTAACCTTCACGTCTCACATTCGTCAATACAATGTATATGTTTAAAACCCCTTGAGAAGATTTGGAGCTTTAAAGTTATATTGACTCAGGTTGACATTTGATATTCACTGTGTATGTACCGAAGTATAATTAGGCCTCTCATAGCAGGCTACACTGAAGAACGTCCTCCTTGCAGCAAGGGGTACTGGCCCCAGTCTACCCTGGACTCTACCATAACATACAAGGAAGGAATCACCGGCATCGTCAACAGTACTGGTTACATTAACCATTGAGCTAAGCTTTGGAATCATATCGACGGGAATAGGGCTCTTGTCGAGAATGCCGGTCTTCGTCGAAGGCCATGTTGGTCATGTATACCTCTTGACTCCGGGATTTGGAGGATATGCTGGAACTTGATTTGAAAGTCTGGAAACAGGGAGGAATGCATGTTGTTTTATGTCGATTTTAATCTCAACTGTATTTTTAATCAATATATTGATATTGAATTTTAACATTAACTACATCATAAAGAAATTATATATCTGTGTATGAGAAGTCCAATACAAGTAGGGAAATAAGCTGTACATCTGAACCCAAGGGTAAGTCGATTATCAGGTGTGTAGCTGAACCCCAGTATACCTGTGTGTACAGCTGTGTACCTTGGTCCCTATGTAAGTAGGCATATAGCTGTATGAACCCCAAGGCTCATACCTGTAGCAGGGTTAGTGTCATATTCAGACCGACACAAAAGCTCCACACACTGCAAATCCAAGCCAGGCCAACAAGTATAGCAACAGAAGTGGCAAATGTACGTCAGGCCGACACATAGTAACATCATTGGCAGATGCATGTCAGGCCGTCACATAAGCACCAGAAGTGGCAGATTTAAGTCAGGCCGACACATGGTATTATCATTGGCTGATACACAGTCAGGCCGACACATAAGCAACACCAGTGGCAGATTCAAGACAGGCCGACAAGTATAGCACCTAATGACAAATATAAATCAGGCCGACACATAGTACCACCACTGACTGATGCAAGTCAGGCCGACACTTTGAGCGGCATTGCCAATTGCAAATGCAGGACAGGCTGGTGGGTTATAAACTCTTGAAAACACATTTCTATTTAAATGATTTTAATGGATGAGTAAATACAATGAAATAAAGTCAGATCATAGCATATTTGAGTGTCAAGATTTGTAGCTTGTGGTGTGGACGAACCACATCTACATATTGCCAAACCTCCTATACACACTGCAGACCGTTCTCTGCACTGTTTAAAACATGACATTAACTTAAATGCAAAAAGTAAAGACACCGAGTACAAAAGTACGCGGATGTTACAAATAATACGTACATGGGTCGTCTCCAATAATTACAAAAACAAACAGTCCGGTTTAGAAAAGGTCCCCAGTCACCTACGCTTGTGGTAAGAGAGTACTAAACGATCGGGCGGTAATGGCATGGTGACCTGGTTGATTGTGTGTCATCGTATGTCGTCGGCGAGGATCGTTTCTCACAACATCAACCACTGCTTTGTCTCCTCCGGACAATAGTTTCAGTTCACTGGCGTTTAGCTGGAAGATGCGGCGAATGCAGTGTTTAACAAACACATTGAAATAAAATAGACAGTCGTTCGATCTCACACACCAGAGATTGAGATGCGTGTAAAAGTTACCGCGGTTAGTGAAGATAAGGTGATAACGGGGCAATAGGGACTGTATTCTCACTGGGACAACATCGCCGTGCTTTGCAGACTATTGTGACGGGACAATCCAATGACTTCACCAATCCCTCGGTTACTCAAGCAGGGGTGCTTTCCAAGCCACAGATCACTTAGAGTATGCAAAATATCTCTCGTCCGAGATATGCAACTGCTGGGAGCATTTGCCCTTCGAAACTGGGGGAGCGGCTACCGTCTGTATAGGAGCAGACTAAGGATGCTGGGATAATTTTGACCATTTCCCGGTTAATCTAGTCAAGAATATTTTGTTCTGCTGCCAAACCCAAAATTCGTTTGAGAACGAAGCGACCTCAGACAGCGAATGGCACGATTGTAAGCGTGGACATTGCTTGCAAGGGGACTTGCTGTTTGCAACGATTGATCTTACTCAAGAAAAACTGGTTGTTGAAAAAAAGACCATTGCTGGCTGATAGATATACTCTTATATTGTGTGTGAGCCTCTTTACTAAAAAAAGTATCTTGAATGATAGACAGAATCCTGCCTGGTGGCTCGTGTACACAGGCTCACATACAGGGACCATGCACCACTTAACCGCAATTGGCAGCCCAATTACGACCGATCCAACAACAAACGAGGGGGTACTGGGGATCTTTCTTGTCTGAATTCTGCATTGACTATGGGGATACCGCGATCTTGAACGGTATTCGTAACAGTAACACTATTCGTGCATTTCAAGCTAAGCTTTTGAGTCATATCGACGGGAGTATGGCTCTGGTCCAGAGAGAGACTGGTCTTCGTCATAGATTACGTTGCTCATGTTTACCTCTTTGCTCCGAGATTTGGATATGCTGGAACTGGATTTAAACTCCTGGAAACAGAAAGGAAAGAATGTTGTAGAATTTCGAATTTAATCTCAACTGTATCGTCAAACTGGCATTATTCAAGTGAATCTTCATAGCCACCCAAATACATTGATACATAAACAGATGTGTATATGGATACTGAACGTCAGTGCAAAATAATGTCTTGACTATATTTTTAAACACAGTCCATCTGATGTAAATGTCAAAATAGGGGTGAAAATTGTATGAATGGACCACTGAAATTCGGTGATGACACCAATATCAGAACTCCAGCACTGGTATGCATACTGAAATATTTTAACACCAAAACAATTCATCAGGATGCCTACAGCTGTATATGAACCCCAAAACAAGGATGCTTACAACTGTATATGAATCCCAAAACAAGGATGCTTACAGCTGTATATGAACCCCCCAAAAGGATGCTTACAGCTGTATATGAACCCCAAAACAAGTATGCCTACAGCTGTATATGAACCCCAATACAATGATACCTACAGCTGTATATGAACCCCAAAACAATAAGCCTACAGCTGTATATGAACCCCAAAACAAGCATACTTACAGCTGTATATGAACCCCCAAACAAGCATGCCTACAGCTGTATATGAACCCCAATACAAGGACGCCTACAGCTGTATATGAACCCCAAACAAGGATGCTTTGCAGCTGTATATGAACCCTAAACAAAGATGCTTGCAGCTGTAGGTGAACCCCAATACAAGGATACTTACAGCTGTATATGAACCCCAAAACAAGCATACGTACAGCTGTATATGAACCCCAAACAAGGATGCCTACAGCTGTATATGAACCCCAATACAAGGACGCCTACAGCTGTATATGAACCCCAAACAAGTATGCCTACAGCTGTATATGAACCCTAAACAAAGATGCTTGCAGCTGTAGGTGAACCCCAATACAAGGACGCCTACAGCTGTATATGCGCCCAACTGCAGGTACGTGCTGACTCACCTCCATGTAGAAGGACAGCATCCCACTCAGGATGGCTGCGGCTAGAGTTGACAGCCACCCAAACACGATCATAACCACGCTGCCGATAGCGGTGGCTCGGATGATGTCGATGTCCAGACAGGTATAGTTCAGGCTGCTGTACAGGACTGTGCTGTAAAACAAGGAGGTGAACCTGTGTAGATCAAGCTAACGGCACTTTGGATAGTAGTTCAGTTGTATCAGTGTCAACTCGTGTGGGATGATTGTCGTAGTGATGTACTTTTCAGACGTTTAAAATTTCGGTGAACCCCATGACAACAGGTATGGGGCTGTGAAATATAAATTGCTCAACGGGGTGAATCAAGGATTCGAAGCTAACACAAATAATTTTAAGCACTGTCATAAATAGCTCGGCGTTATATCGTGGATTTACACTGATAAAGTGGACATCGTTTAACATTTCTCATTTGGCCCGATTTAGGGTATAGATTTTCATAAACTGAACTATCACCTCCCGCGAGATTTTGGAATCCACAATTTTTTTTCAGAACCACTTGTAGGTGGTAAAGACACATACTTGTCCCTTTGGGGAAATGCTCGAGTTGCATGCACATCATATTCACAAGCAAGCTTTTTTGGGGGAAAGAGGCATTTTATAGCGTAATTTTTCAAGTGTTGTGGTTTTTAAATATAACAATGTGAATCATCTATGCACAAAATCACCCTACGCTTCAGTCTCTAAATTACCTAAATATGTGTTTTACATAACAATTTCGAAAACCACAAACAAAATGGTACTTGAGTTGAAGAGCGTTTACCCACCTGCACACACATGTGCCATATATGGTCTGGCAGCCTGTCGTGTCATACTCAGATGTGAAAAAACGCACCACTATGACACTAGCGATGAATACTCCGGTCATGGCCAGTAGACTCAGGACACACAGCACCAGCTGGATGATATACTGAAACATACCAGCTGGATGATATACTGAAACATATCGACTGGATAATATACTGAAACATACCAGCTGGATGATATACTGAAACATACCAGCTGGATGATATACTGAAACATACCAGCTAGATGATATACTGAAACATACCAGCTGGATGATATACTGAAACATACCAGCTGGATGATATACTGAAACATACCAGCTGGATGATATACTGAAACATACCAGCTGGATGATATACTGAAACATACCAGCTGGATGATATACTGAAACATACCAACTGGATAATATACTGAAACATACCAGTTAGATGATATACTGAAACATACCAGCTGGATGATATACTGAAACATACCAGTTAGATGATATACTGAAACATACCAACTGGATGATATACTGAAACATACCAACTGGATAATACACTGAAACATACCAACTGAATGATACACTGAAACCTACCTGTTTATTCCTTGTTAATCATTATTGCAATTGTGTCGAACCTCGCATAACTCGAAGTATTTACTTCGACACAAGTGAGTTCAACATTATAGTCCACATTGATGATATTTATGTACTTTGTTTTTGCTGACGTGCATATATACTTCCGGAAATTCTACCATTATTTCTTGATAATAACAAGATGGACTATTGGACGAGAAGTGATTATACTGTCTACTAGGCATAACACGGACGACTGTATCCTGTGGAGGTATAATGTGCCACCGGACAGACAGGGTAGGGGATATATTACACATGAGTTTCTGGAAACAATGTTGTCAACAAGAACCAGCCTATATCTGAAAGCTTCTGTTCAGTTTGTAACACAGTGGCATGTGGCATCTATGCTGTTACGGGCCAATGCTCCCAAGCCACAGGAAATATGGACTGACTGATTGCGTGAACGAATATCAAAATGTTCAGCGACCGATATACTATGTAATACCATATAGACTACGATATTTTAGTGCATTGATACTGTACAGTAATCCAATCAAACCCATATAATACAACTGTATTAGATTATGGCATAAATTCCGCATAGATACAAGGTGTATCATATGAATCTTAATGACATATAAATCCGTTTTATAATAACTCAAAAGGACAAGAGTGATAACTTGTTTTAAATGTGAACAAAGAAAATGCGATAATACAATGAAAGGAAGAGTCATCGATAAAATATGATCTTCAATCTTAATGCGTGATTCGGCATTACTTCCTGGT